GAACCATTAGAAATATAGGTCCTGAGCTAAGAGTGGTTAGATTTTTTCTATTATAATAAAACAATTGGGTTTTGTCTCAATTTACTTTGGGGCCCAGACCAGGTGCTGCTATCTTGTGCAGTATTAGTAATATGCACTCCCAAGAAAAGAAAATTCTGATGAGGAAGGCAACATATTTCTGTTTCAAATTTCCTCCTTAGCTTTAGATGTAAATCTCCAGCCACCAACCTCTCGTGTCCACGTGAATGATCCTAACAGCATCACAGATTTCACCCATAACCTGCATCCTAGCCAGCTCCTCCTAGAGGAAGGCAGCACAGGACATGGGTTTCAAATCTGCGGGAGCTAGGTGTGAATCCCAGTTCTACCAATGTCTACCACAGTAAAATAAGAGCGGTAAGGAAGATGACATAATGACAGACATTCCAATCGAGCCCGGTCAACAAGAAGCTCACTCTAAGCAAGCAGAATACAACCAAATTTAGGAAATGTGATCTTTAAAATGGGAAAGAATTTTTGAAAATCAAAGTCATGATATTATCTGTATGCATGTATTTACCTTTGTGATAATTATCTACACCAATGTGGTGAGAGCACATTGGGGGCAAAAGTTAAGAAAACTTCTTAGACATAACCAGACACAGAGAATGAGGCACTGGCCTTGGGGGCCCAGGACCCGAGTCTCAGGGACATCAAGATCTACAGGTATGACATAGTGCACAAAGACAATATTCTACATCTTACTCTGGAGAGCAGCAACTGGGGTCTTAAAAACTCCCGGGCAGCCACTGAAGTGTGAACTACAGGTCTCTCCCTCTCCGGAGGAGAGGAGTCACGAAAACACACAGACCGGTGTAAAGAAATAGAATACCGTGGACTCAGGGGCCACTCGAACAACAGTCTCTACAACCCTCAGACCAAACGAACTCGATGGTAACACTACCAACATCAGGTCCTGAATCAAGTGGAAGAAAACTCAAAATTATAAAGCAAAACTGGCGGGCTCCTTACACAGACCACAGAGAGGACCCTAAGACTATGGCGCTCAGTCACCCTTCGGGTCTGCAGCTGAATTCACCCCCCAAATTACATTAAGGGATCATTTAAGATCAAAGGGGAAGCATTTACCAAAGAACGAAGTTCGAAGGATTAAAAGACAGGTAGGAATGCAAACGGCACACACAGGAAGTGGAATCACGGATGGCACACTGAGGGCATTGTAACAGGTGAGTTGAAACAAAGTATTTAAGGACAGTTGACAAAATAACAATAATTTATGAATTATGAAGGGTTCATGCGGGAGGGGGGCATGGGGAGGGAGGGGGGAAAATGAGGAGCTGATATTAAGGGCTCAAATAGAAGGCAAATGTTTTGAGAATGATGATGGCAACAAATGTACACATGTGCTTGACAAAATGGATGTATGCACGGATTGT